CGTCCCCACCTACGCCCCCCCCCTCCGCCGCCGCCACCGTCACCGTCACGGCGTGTCTGGCACTCGGCAGGCCGGGGGTGGTTTCGGGGGGCGCAGAGAGTCACGCGTCCCCCACCCGGGGTGTCGCTCCCGGGGGGGTCGCAGGATTGCTGAAGTAGCCGGGCGACACGCACGCGTGCGCACGTATGTGCTTGGCATGCAGGCGTGTGCGGAGGGTGCACGTACATCCTTGGTGCGCACACACCGGGCTGGGGGTGCACACGCGTGCTCGGCAGTGCACACGTGTGCTGAGTGTGCACACACATGTATTGAGTGCGCACACACATGCCTGGCAGCACACACGTATGTGCCGAGTGTGCACACACGTGCTGAGTGTGCACGCACATACCTGGCAGCACACACATGTGCCGAGGGTGCACACATGTACTGAGTGTGCACACACATGCCTGGCTGCACACATGTGTGTGCTGAGTGTGCACACACGTGCTGAGTGCACACACATGTGCTGACTGCACACACACATACCTGGCAGCACATATGTGTGCTGAGTGTGCACACACGTGCTGAGTGTGCACGCACATGCCTGGCAGCACACACATGTGCCGAGGGTGCACACATGTACTGAGTGTGCACACACATGCCTGGCTGCACACATGTGTGTGCTGAGTGTGCACACACGCACTCAGAGGCACACACACATCTACCGGTGTGCACTCATCCCCAGCGGTGTGCCTGGTGGTGTGCATACGTGCTCGGCACGAACACGTGTGTTTCGCTTATGCACACGCGTGTGCGTGTGTCTGCATGTATGTGTAGATTAGTGTGCACGTGTGAATACATGTCTGTATGTGTGCACACATGTCTGCGTGTGCCTGTGTGACTGCTTGTGCGCCTTCATTTCTGTGTGTGCGTATGTACATATATGTGTACACACATGTAGGTGTGCGCATATGCGTGTGCATGCATGTAGGTGTGCGCATATGCGTGTGCACACATAAGCTCATACATGCCTGCATGTGCTCCTGCATGTGTGCAGGCATGCGCGTGTGCATCTGTGCACACGTGTGCATACGTGTGTGTACGTGTGTGTGTACACACGTGTGTACACGCGTGTGCGGACCTGCAACGCCTGCCCAGTCCTGCCCCGTTAGGTCGCTGGGAGCTGGGTGCGGGCGGGTTGGGTCGGTGGGTGCTGCTGCGCCCTGGGGTGCTGCAGGAGCTGGGGGGGGGT